AATTGATTAGGTCATTTGTAAAGAAACAACTCAATTGCTTTGGGTCAAGCTTTCATGGTCGTCGAAGTGGGTTTTAAAAACCATAAAATCTTCTCGTATCTCCAATGATGGACCACAATCGAAGGTTGCTTTCTACCATATTTTGATCACTTTCGAGTTTATTATTTAGAAAAGTTATACTGTCTCGTTAAAATTATTTACCTTCTAATTAATTAACCGTCCAATGGTGTTTTATCCCGGTGATAAGTGTATGGGTAATTGGCATAAATAACCAAACAAAAAAAATTATATCTAAAAACCTAACCAAATAACCTAAATCTAATGATTATCATTTGGCCACATGAGGCAATTTTGGTTATTTGTTTAATTATTAAATTTTTTTTGTTATTGAGCAAATTAATCCGTGTGTATAAACATAATTATGTAATTTTTTTACGTTCATCAAATTTTCACAATTTTGTGTTCTTTTAGAAGATATTCCTCTATAAATTGTATACTCATTAGTTACAGAAATGAAAAATCATTAGTAAAAAAATAATTAGTTTTAAGCGTTTCGTAATTATTCAATAGAAACTAGACTACTCAGGTATTTCGATTACTATATTAGTTACTTCTGACCATTTAACATTTTAGACTTTTAGTTATCCTTTCATTAATCATATCATCCTACTTGCTATAGGTTAGAAGTCGAAAACACTACTTAAACGTAATTTATCAAAACGTGATTTAAAAAGAAAACCATAAAAATCAGTGTGCAAGCAACAAACACAATAATTTTATTTTGAGAACCTATTCATACAGAAAATTTGTATTAAGTTCACAAAGACATATATGATGTCATGTGTAGATTGTGTACTACATAAGTTCTCAATAATGATTAAAATCTTTAATTATATATCAACAAAACACAATAAATATGTCAAGACATGAGATGTCGAAGCATACAGTTTGTATTGGAGAAGGAATCACTTAAATGAAACAACCTAATCAAATTTAATGCTTATTCTTTTGTCCCTAATTTTTCTTCCTCGTCGTCATTATTAAATAATAAACAATGAAAACTTTGGATGCATAACCCAAAAGTTTGTGACAAAAAAAAAAAAACC